CCCTGCTGAGGGTGTAGAGCTGGTCCAGTGTTCCACGACCAGGACCAAAACCACACTGCTCTTCTAATAAATGTCCTTACAGAAAATCTATCTGCTCATTTTAAATCAATAATTTTACTTTAATACTTAAAAAATATCAGATTAAGGCTTTTACTCAAGTAATATTCCTAAAGGAGACTTTAACTTTTACCAAAGTAATTTTTTGATAAGATACTTGTATTTTTACTTACCGTATTTATTCATGTATAGTACAATCATAATTTTTTGAGCTTAAAAATTATTAAAAATCTAATTATAACCTGTGTATAATACTACCCCCCCCCACACACACACACACACACACACTTTATGTATGATTTTTAGGGTTAAATCTCTAGTATTCTATCATTTTGTGGTACTTTGTTGTGGTACACTGCTTCATTCAGGCCTCCCCTCTCTAACCAGGGCGACGCCCGCTACCTGATCAGCAACTCCAAGGACCAGTCCATCAAGCTGTGGGACATCAGGAAGTTCTCCCCCACAGAGGGTCTGGCTGCCTCCCGGCTGGCGGTCACCCAGCAGAACTGGGACTACCGCTGGCAGCAGGTTCCTCAGAGAGGTGAGGCGCTGGCGTCCCGCATGGCGCGGCGTTAAGACCTTCCTCCTTTACCTCTGACCGCTCCGTCTCGCAGCCCTGAAGAAGCACAAGCTGACGGGCGACACCTCGGTGATGACGTACCGCGGCCACGGCGTCCTGCACACGCTCATCCGCTGCCGCTTCTCCCCGGAGTTCACCACGGGCCAGAGCTTCATCTACTCCGGCTGCTCCACGGGCAAGGTGGTCGGTAAGTCTGACCCCGGGCGGGCCGGCGGGCCGAGCTGCTTTCTTTTAAAGAGGCTGAAGCGCTCACAGATGTTTGTGTCCAGTCTACGAAGTGCTGACCGGCAAGGTGGTGACCAAGCTGTCCGGCCACGACGCCTGCGTGAGGGACGTCAGCTGGCACCCTTATGAGGACAAAATCATCAGCAGCTCTGTGAGTGATCGTCACCAAACCCTAAATATCACAATAAATCCTTTAAAAATATATCTTTTTATTATCCTTCTACTGAAACCAAAGAAAACGAGAAGAATACAATAAATTATAAAATCTAAAGGCCCTGTCACACTGGACAACTTATGCCAACTTATGAACATTTTAAAGACGTCCACATTGAAGATGGAACTGAAAAAATCAACAGAAAGCTTCTTTGTGACGTGTACATAACATATTTCTAACAAATTGATCAAATATATAACTTTAATTAGCAATTTAGACATAAAAAAAGTTTCATAAGTTGTCTAGTGCGACAGGGTCTTAACATTCAGTCAGAAGTAGGATGCATTGAAAAGCCAGTCTAGAAATGTGGGTCTGCAGTCATTGTAAACAAAGGCTGAATTTGTTTGATAACTTCAACAGTTTTACAGATTTTGGAGTAAAATTTGACGAGGTATTAGCTGAGAGTCATCCGCAACACATATTATAATCTAATCAAACTCATTTTCACTGAGGACAACGTGAGCATCATGGATTCCCTCAAAGGACCAGCTATAATTTACTTTGATGTTTCATGTTTAACAGGGTTCAGATCTTCAAAATATCTTAAAGGCATTGATTTCATCAGTCCAAAAATAAGGTCTTAATTGGCCTTAAAATGTCTTAAATCAATCTTTAAGAGGGAGGTCTTAAAGTGTCTGTGACATGGATATCCTTCAGATACAAAAAGTCAAAGAAAACATCTTTATATTTACAAAACTTGGCAATAAACACATGATTTTACCCAATTTGCCATATAAATGGCATATTTTCTTATGAATTTGGCTCCACCAAAATGAAACAGGAAGTGACATCAAAGGGGAACTCTTTAAGATGTGAAACTCTCTGATCTTTGTTTATTAAAACAATATATTTTGAACTCTGATTCTTCTGTATCTCTGATAGTGACTCAAAATAACCTAAAGAAACATCAGATTCTTCTCTACGCTCTCTATTGTCGGCCATTGTAGTGATTCTCTGACATTCAGACCCTTTGACATCACTTCCTGTTACAGCACATGCAAATATCTCCACAACTGTTCATCTCAGCGGTATAAAATGTTCTTTGCATCATGTTATCGATGTTATGGTTCCAAAAATGCATTCATATTTMTTAGAAAAATTTGATGTCACGGTTTCTTTAAAAATGTTAAACATTATAAGTAGGATGATTGTAATTCATCTCAAATATTTAAATATTTGGCAACATTTGTTTATTTTTTTAATTAGTTTACAGAATGTATCAGCTTGTTGTTTTGTTAAATTAAACATTTGGGTAAAATTGTTGCTAACTAGGATTTTTTTCTTTCGTTTTCATTGTGAAATTGGTCTTAAATGTCATTTCAAGTGGCATTAAATGTCTTAAAATTCTTAAGTTTAACTTGCCTGTTAAATTATGACTAAGCAAGAATCGTCACATTCCTGAGCCCCGCTAACAAACAAGAACTGAGCTCTACTTGGTATTTCCTGCGTAGAAACAGTGTTTTAACACGTCCTCTCAAAAACACTGAAAAGTACTCTGTGTACGACTGAGTAAATGTGAAATAAATACTACAGTAATACTTTTAAAAGTAAAAGTGAGTYACTGTTGAGTTGTGTTGAGTAGCTGCTGTCTTGAACTCTGAACTCTCCCACTTTCCCACAGGTTTGAATTTTGTTTATATTTATGACTTGTAAGTGGGAAGTTCCCACTTCGCAGTACAACTGAGCTGCAGCAAAAGTAGCCGAAGAAAACGCAGCTAAATGTAGATTTTTACTACTGTTGAACCCCATGCAGCTCCACCTGGTGGTGAGATGCTGTGATTTGGCAGGTAAAATAATCAACTTGTGTTATGGGAGATGTAGTTTATGGTTTTTAAAGCGTCATGTGCTTTAGAAATCATAAATATATATTCGAAGCTCTTGAGGGCCTCATAAAATCCTGTAGAGGGCTACATTTGGCCCACGGACCTTGAGTTTGACACATGCTGTAATCGGTGACACGTCCCATGTTTTGTTTCAGTGGGACGGAGCGGTGCGCGTGTGGGAGCACAGACAGACCCACCCTCTGGAGGAGGAGCGGGAGCGGGACAAGAACTGAGCCCAGGAAGAAGGAAAAGACTTTAGAGGAAGTGACATCACCAGAGAGAAACCTAAAAAAAAATAAAAAGTTGTTAAGTGCTGAATATTACCGATCAGAGGCTGCGAGGTGTTCGCTCGCAGAACGAGACACTCTCTGTTTTTCTTTGTGTTTTCTCTGTCAGGATAAAACGGGCCGAAGTTTGTCGACCCGGTCCAGAACTCTTCCCTCAGACTCTGCTGCGTTCGCTGAGATATTAGGATTTAATGAGTATAAGGATAAGTTAATTACATGGGTTTAGAAGCTGGTGGATGTTTGCAGGTGATCGTTGTGCATACATGTATATTATTTTAATGGTAAGTTCATTCAGGGAGCGTTCAGATGGTCGCTGACTCTGCTGTTAGGAAGAGCTCAGGCTGATTAAAACACTTAGCTGCCCTGAAGTCGCTCAGCAGCTCGTCTCGTTTATCCAGACTCCTCCCTGAGCTGATTACTAATTATTTTCTTTTAAAAGAGTGATTTTCTTGTTCAAAGTTTTCAGCGTGTGTGATGTCGAGGGGTGGTGGAAACTTACGCACCGATGTTTATGCAATCTTCAGGTGTTTCACGTTTAATCTGCTGTTTTACAGTTACAATAAAAACTTTTCTTTAAAGGCGTCACCGAGGAGTTTCTCTGCTGCAGCTGAGGGCCCGTTTGTCTTTTTCTGTGGCTTTAAACTGATTTGATGTGAAAGAGGATTAGGGACACTGAAAACATATAATCCTGACTTCAATCTCAGAATTCTGAGAAAAAAAAAAATTCTGCCTTTAATCTCGAAATTGTGACTTTATTCTCAGAATTTGTAGGAAAAAAAGTCAGAATTTGGACTTTAATCAAAGAATTCTAACTTTAATCTGAAAATTCTGTCTTTAATCACAGATTTTTAGGGAAATGTCAGAATTATGACTAATCTCAAAATTCTGACAAAAAATTTGAGTTCGGACTTTAATTTCAAAATTCTGTCTTTAATCTCATATTTCTTAGAAAAAAGTCAAAATTCTGACTAATCTCAGAATTCTGACTTTATTCTCAGAATTTGTAGAAAAAAAGTCAGAATTTGGACTTTAATCTAAGAATTATGACTGTGATCTCAATATTCTGGCTTTAATCTCAGATTTCTTAAAAAAGTAAATTCTGACTTAGAATTCTGATTAATCTCAGAATTCTGAGAATAAAATACTGACTTTAATCTCACAATTAYGACTTTAACCTCAGAATTCTGAAAAAAAAATCCAAATTCTGCTTTTAATCTCAGAACTGTCACTTTATTCTTAAAATTTGTAGAGAAAAATGGCAGAATTTGGACTTTAATCTAAGAACTCTGACTTTAATCTTGGATTTCTTAGAAAAACAAGTCCGACTTCTGACTTTAATCTAAGACTTCTGACTAATCTCAGAGTTCTGAGGAAAAAAAATTAGACCTTTAATCTCAGGATCATGACTTTACTGTCAGAATTTTGACTTTAATCTCAAAATTCCGACTTTATTCTCTAATTTCTGATGGGGGAAAACTATACCTTTAATCTCAGAATTGTGACTTTATTCTCAGAATTCTGATTTAATATCAGATTTGTGAGTAAAAAAGTCAGAATTTAGGAAAAAATTTATATATTTGTGGCTCTGTGGCCCTAATCCTGTTCCATAATTTGCGGTTGTCTTTTGGATAGAAACCTTGTCTTTGTGTCTAAAAACACAAGCTGTAGTAGCATGTGTTTGTTTGCACTGTTAGTAAAATATCTCCTGAACAAGTGGATCTACAACTGATTCAGTCAGAGACGCAGACGCCTCATGGAGCTGTGAACCCACGCCGACACCCTGCTGGATGTGGAGTGATGGGAGCAGATGCCTCCTTCRTGTTGCTGTGTGGAAACGACAACACAAACCAGATCTTACCTGTCACAGGTGAGAATGTTAAAATACTTATTTGTCCATTTTGACATCATTTTACAAACAAAATTTGCCACCACCTGACCCGGGTGGGGTTCGCAGGGTTGCTGTGGTGGTGCGGCCGGCACCTCCTGACCCTGCTGGAGCTCCGCCTCCGCAGCCCCGCCTCCTCCACGAGGACCGGACCAAAGCGTGGTGCCTGGAAGTGGACATGACGTGGCGAGGCTGTGAGGTGTCCCAGGATGTCCTGGTCCTGTGTCTGTGCTGCCTGCTGATCGTAGAGACCTCGGTCTTCTGCCGCCACCTGGACCAGCAGGAACCCCTGCACTGGTTTGCTGGAGCCCCACCGAGAGTCCTCTTCCTCCWCTGTGCAGCTCTCCTCTTCATCTGGATGTTCCTGCTTCTGTGTGTTTGCTGGCGTACTTCCCCGCCTGGCCCTCCCAGCAGCTGGGGGGACGTTGGGCTACCTGGGCTGGAGGGGGCTCTATCAGGGCTGGTACAGACTACCACGGAGCCGGGGCTCACCTGGTCCAGCTCCAACACACCCAGTTAATCACACTTTAAAGAAGTAGCCCAAGACTTTTAGGAATCACGATTTATTTTTGTAATTTGAACCAAGATCCATGACCTGTGGGGGATGGAAAGACTTTTTTTTGTTTGTTTGTTTTTGGTCAGAACAGGTGATAAACTACAAGAGATGTAGACTGTTAAAAAATAAAAATAAAGTTGTCTCCAGAATCAGTAGATGAGAGCTTTCCCGTCTCCTCTCGGTCTCTTAATCTTGTCGTAGTTTTTGTTGATGATGTCGAACAGAACGGCCTGCAGGAACAAACAAAGGATTATTGAAGATGTTTCACGTAGATTACGAGGTTCAGAGTGTTTTAAAACTGCAGCGAGGTGCTTCGACGTGCAGGGTTAGTGTCCCTGTTTGACCGGTTTTCAGCTGACAGGAAGTTCAAGAGCTTCGTTTTAAAAGATTTCTCCTGGGTGACTGAGAAGCTACACAGAAATACAACCAGTTACAAAACAACGCTATACAAAAAGGGTCTGCCATCGTTTGAATTTAAATTACCCTTTTTTTAGAGGAGGGGTCAAAAAAAGTTGGTAGCTAACCAGAGTTCTTTCAGAATAAAATAATCTTAACGTCAATAATAATTTTAATCCTACGATCATTTTACACAACCAGCAACACAGACTAAAGAACAATCTGATGATAAACAAAGATCCTTTTAAAAGAGTTCCCCTTTGATGTCACTTCCTGTTTCACTTCGGCTGAGCAAAGATCAAAAGAAAAGATGCCAGTTTTGGGACAAAATGAGTAAAATTGTGTRTATTATGTCAAGATTCTTCAATACAACGACGTTTTCTTTGACGTTTTGTATTTGAAGGCTATGCTTGTCACAGGTACTTCAGTTGAACTTAGTTTTAGATTTATTTGACTGTTTTAAGTAGAAGTGTTAAAACTCGTGCAGGGCATCAAAGACAGAACCTGATGTTTCATCATCCTTTGAACGACGTCATCTTACTCTATGATTATAGTTACGCCTCACTTTAGATGGCCGCCGCACACTACATGCAGATTCTTCTTCGTTGGTGTTTAGAGGCTACTTCCTCCAGTCGGAGGACTGGGAGTTGAGTTTTTAAAATTCGAATGATTCCAGGAGGATTAAAACGTTAATCCCAGTTCCAWTCAGTACTCGATGCCCAACCCTGTCTACAACACTACAATATGACACAACATGTTATGTGAACACAATGGCTCCATTCACACTGCAGGCAAATCTGACTCTTATCCGATTTTTTTTATGACAGTCTGAATGAGACAAATCCGATTTTTTCAAATCCGGCCCAGGCCGTTTCAGTATGTG